AAGCAAGCCTCATGTTAGTTTCAAGCTGCCTGGCTGCCGGCCGCCATCTTGGCTGACAGTTAATTTGCATATTGCCCTGATCAGCCAATGGGAAGGGTAGCGGTCGTATGCTAATTACCACATTTCTCTTTTATTAGATAGGATAATTTAACTTCCAGAGTAGCCCTATGGTGGTCAATAGTATTTATCCCAATTTTAAAGTTGAAACCAGGAGCAGGTAAGTAATTAACTCAAGGGCATAGCTAGTAGGGAGTAAAATTTGGAAATAGTACTCTAGTTTTTGTGTTTTTCATCAAAGCTGCTTAACTCCTGATATCTGTGATGTCACACTAATTAATTATATCAGAAGACACCTTTTTTATGAAATGTCTTTCATTATTTAGAGGTAAACCTAAAACAGCTGCTTATGATATCTGAAGGAATTATGGTGACATGTTAACATTTCATAAATCTTGATGGTTGATCTGTGCTTTTCTATGTTTGAAAAATATGAAAAAACAACACGTTTTCAAAATTTTAAAGCAAAGCTACAAGAGCAATATAAAAAAAGGATGCCAATACACATATCCTGGCAGAGAAGTAAATGAAAACATTGGATTTGATGAGTATACATTTCTGATTCATTATCTCCTTAACTGTCTTTTTACTCTTAACTCTGTTTACTTTTTTGTAGCCTCTTTTTGCTTTTGAATACAAAGAAGTATTCCCTGAAAATGGATGGAAACTATATGACCCTCTTTTAGAATATAGAAGGCAGGTATGTACTTTTTTCTTTTAATTTTAATATACTATATTCTTTTTATTACAACATTTTATGGGAAGAAGTAAACAGATATATGCTTTAGGGCTGTCTTTCAGTTCCTTAAACTGCTCTTCAGACTGTGCCAGTGATTTTTAATGAATCTTATCTAAGAGTTCACAGGTAAATCAATTTGTTTTTTTAAGTGTTTAATAGTTTTTAAAATAAAAGGGCAAATACATTAAATTTTAATGTGCTTACATCATTAAACATTATTTACTCAATTTTTCTCTTTTGGGTATGCTGTAATTTAATTCGGAAAACATTTCAGATAGTTCTGTATATAATGTAGCTCCACCTAAAACTTTGAAAGTTTTACATATTCACCGAGGCTACACATTTACATAAAATGTTAACAAATCAAATCTGGTATCATGACTAAGGTGGGTTGGTTTAATATTTGAATGCTTATCAGTGTGATTTCATTTACCACAATAAGAGATATAGCTGAATCCAATCTTGAAATCTGCGTTATAGTGAGTGTATCATTCTCCCTATTTTTCCTCAGTACACCACTTCCCAAAGAGTTCCTGTTCCACAGCATGTGCCTGGGTGGGTGGGGAGTGGGGGAGGCCAGGGAAGGTAAATGGGGAAAAAAAGGAGACATATGTACTACTATTTGTAATACTTTAAACATAAAATACATTTTTAAAAAAATAAACGCTACCTAAGATAGGCTTTATTTTCAACTTTCCACATGTTCATGGTGCTATCTTGAGAAATTAAGTGCAGACACATTGATTGCTTTTTGGTAATCATTAGATTTGGTATCCAAATTATTCTAGAATTCAGGTATGAAAATCAGTATGCTGTGATTTTCATATTTAGATTTCAAACATTGCAGTTTAATTACAAAGTGTATCATTTAATCATGTGTGGCAAGTATAATTTGAAATTCCTCGTTCAGTTATAAAACCATCTGCTGACAAATATGAAGCAGAATACAGAATAAGTGGGTCAACTAAACCTGGACATTATAAGATTTTTGCTAACCCAAATCTTGGAAAGCAACCAGCAGATCTAACAAATGTCTTTATAATTGTAAAACTATTATTTGGGAATCTGGGCAGAAATTGCTATCTGTTATTGTAGCATTCAAAATAGAACTTTGGAAAGCAGATGCGAATAACCATGTCTAGCGAAAAGAAATGTTATTATTAAAAAGAAAAAATGAGTTAAAGAGTAAATGAACAGCTATTCCCATAAAGAGAATTACAAGTTCTGGAAACATGGCAGTCAGAATAGAGCATTGAACTCTGCAGTAAATATATGCTTATGGTTTTTGACCTACTAGATGAATTTGTTGACTTTTTTTCTACAGATACTTAATTTGTCTCTGAGTAAACGCAGCTAAAGTCTTAACAGAAAAGACACTGTATCTGTAATTAGAAGGCTCAGTTTATAAAATATATATATATATATATATATAATTTTATGTATATTATGGAAGAAAATGAAGATAATCTCTTAATATAAACCTTAAGATTAGACATAAAGCATCAGAGTATTCCTTTTTTTTTAAATGAAAAATATTGAAAGTGGTAATTGCACACTATATAAAATTCAGAAGGTACAAAAGGGTATATTGAAAGGTAGGTTGGTTATCTTCTAGGCCAACCTTGTCCCCTTGCCATCCCAGTTCCTCTCCCTTCAGGAAATATTGTTACTGGTTCTCCATATGTCAGTTCAGAGATTTTATGCGTGCAGAGCTTGTGTATCTATGTATATTACATTTTTAAGCAGATGATAGCATTCTCTGCACATTTTCTGTGTCTTTTTCATTGTGTATGTATGTATATAAAGAGGCTGCTGGCATAGTGCCTGCACATAGTAGGTGCTCAATAAATACATTTTTTACTATAATTTGGTTTCTTTTAATTTTTTCTGTGATGATATGAGTTGTCAGAGGTCAGAAAATTTAAAAAATATATTTTTTAAATTCCAAACATTTAATATAAAGGCTTTTATTTCTGTAGAATGGAGGGTGAAAAAATTTAAGGTCTTAATAAGCAATCCTGTAGGTGAAGTAGTACCCTAGTTATATATATATATATATGTATATGTATATATATATATTAAATATTGAAGGACCCAATGAGGAGCTTAATAATCGATGTGTATTTTAAAAAAATGTTGTATTTCCCTTGACTCTTTTTGGCTTTGCCTTCTGTTATCCTTGCTTTTCTAATATGTTTTAGATTAGAAGTATTCCATTAGTACTATAATGTAGGAGTGAAAACTTCACTTTTGTATGGAAGTGGTAAATGTATATATTAGCATTGTGGTGGACACTTGGTGTCTTCCCTCTCAAATTTCTTTGTGTAGGTGAATGGCAGTAAAATCAATAACCCAGTGAAATTGAATGATACTGTTCTTTTTGAAGACAGGGAATATTTGCAGTCCCACCATTTGCTTCCTTCCCATTGGATATGCTTAGCACAGACCCAGCACACAAACATTACTTAACCTATTAACATAAAATTGAATGTCAAAAAGAATGTATATCACTGTTAGAATCTCTCAACCTAATAGGCTGGTCACCACAGGCAGAACATAACTATTCCAACAACTTAAGAGCTGGACAGTGGAGATGAGAGAGATTAAATAGGATGACTTCAGTTTTCTTGTCTTATATTTTAGTTAGGTAGTAATTTGTCTTGTGTTTTTTTCACATACAGGGAATTCCAAATGAAAGCTGGAGAATAACAAAGATAAATGAACGCTATGATCTTTGTGATACATACCCTGCCCTCTTGGTTGTGCCAGCAAGTATTCCTGATGAAGAATTAAAGAGGGTGGCATCCTTCAGATCAAGGGGCCGAATCCCAGTGAGTATGAAGCTGTGATGAGACTTTGCAGATGCTTTTGTACTGAGATTAAGGACTTGGAGAATGGATGCAGGATAAAAATAGCTACAGCTAACGGTGTTTATGGCGATATTAGAAAATGAGTTATTTAATAAACCAAAAATGGGGTAAAGGCTGTTTAAAGAAATGTCTGAAGAGTATGACATGGGTATTAGGTGCACAGAATTGCATGATTCTTAACTTGAAAACGAAGTTGGTTCTTTGTATTTTCACTATTTCTTTATTTTGTTGCACATTCTTGGTGATACATGCTCTTTTCCTTTAAATCCTAGAAACAAGAAAACTTTACAAAATCTTGAATTACTGTGTTCTAGAAAGACCAGCTCAAATAATTTTAAGTACAAAATTCATAGATTCACAAGATTTTATAGTTGGGCAGTTTGTTGATACAGTAATAAAACTTTAAAAGTGGGACTTAGCCCCTTTTTAAGGTAGGTTTTCTAGAGACAACACTTCCCAATAATCAATGACTTTTATAAGTTAATATCTGATAAAGGTATTAGACCAAGTTTTCCACATCCCAGAGTTGGTTTGAAAGAAAGGTGATGATATTTGAGAGCAGCTCCAATATATCTTTTCATGGCTAGGGTTTGGACCCAATTAGAAAGCAGAGTTTTATAGAGTAATTTATTTTTAGGAGAATTATAAACAGACAAGTTTATAAAGAGCGTGCTGCCATTTCCCTCCATTTAGGTTTTATCCTGGATTCATCCTGAAAGTCAGGCCACAATCACTCGATGCAGCCAGCCCATGGTAGGAGTGAGTGGGAAGCGAAGTAAAGAAGATGAGAAATACCTTCAAGCCATCATGGACTCTAATGCCCAATCTCATAAAATCTTTATATTCGATGCCCGGCCAAGTGTTAATGCTGTTGCCAATAAGGTGAGATTACTTTTCAAGTAATTAATATTACAGTTTCACGAATCAGCTGAGTGTGACAGAAGCCACAATGCAGTAGAAAGAGTTCAGTCTTTCCAGTGATAAAGATGGAGATTTTAATCCTGGCTCTCCTGGCTGGTATGACTCTGAGTTCATTATTTAATCATATTAGACCTTGATGGTTCATTTGTAAAATGAGAATAGTAACAGCCAACAGGACCCAACACAAAATAGTGCAGAACCCTGTACTTTATAGAGGTAGGTGTTCAGGAAGAATTATTATTCATTCTCCATCCTCCAAATGCACCTGAGTTCATGCCCGAGTCAGGTCTGCCCAGCACAGCTGTAGGAATCAGGAAGCAGTGTTCTGAGTGACCAGCGGTGCCCTCTCCTGACAGCCCTGCCCCTGTACAAGCTGTTCACACTGAAGACTTGCATTTAGCTGGAGGAGTCGTCCTGATTGCTGCTACAGAATAAAGATTTGCATTCTGGCTTATATGTATGCATATAAGCATAACCAATGGTCACAAGGCACTTGGGGGGTGGGGTAAGGGCATCTGCCAGCGGGGTAGGGGAGGCCGGGGGAAGGTCAATGCGGAAAAAAAAGGAGACTTATGTACTACTATTTGTAATACTTTAAACAAGAAAATAAAATAAAAATAAAAAGATTTGCATTGTGGAAATAGAAAGTCTGGTTCAGTTGACAAAATCTATAGGAAAAGGTGAGAGAAGAGATATAACTTAGCTTTAAGAAGGTACCTCTCTTTTTAAATCCCCAATAAGCAATGTATATGTATTACAGAAAATTACCTAATGCAGATGAGAAAAAAAAGAGAGAAAATATTTAAAACCACCCTTAATCCTGTAACTAGGAGAGAACCATAATTAAATTGTGCTTCTACTTCCAGACCTATGTATGTATGCATACACTCATATATCTGAAACAGAATGGGATAATTGTAACTTAAAAAAATTGACACTGTATCTTTCTATGACAGTAAACATTCATCTATAACATTTCATCTATTACATTACAAAATACGTAGTAGATAGTATAAAAAATTAGGAAGGCATAGAAAAGATAATCACATAGTGTCACTAAGATTTTTTATATTTTCCTTCATTATTTTTTCTATGCATTGAAGTGTTGGTTATTTTGTTTCATTGTTTTTTTCTCTTACCATTGTATTATAAGAATCATTTCTTTTCATGAAATATTCTTGAAAAGTAATAGTACTCATCATATAGGTGTATTATCATTCATTTAATCATTCTTCTAATATTGGGCATTTAAGTATTTACTATTTTAACTATAGCTGAAATAGATATCTTTTGTTAGCATCTTTGATTTCCTTAAAATAGTTTTCTAGATATACAGTTACTATATTAAAATTTAAAATATGCATATTTTTAACATTTTCATATTGCAAATATTCTTCAGAATGGTCGATCCAGTTTACTAACTTGCTGTCTCCCCTGCTCCACACTATCTATATTAATAAAAGGGAAATATGCTAATTAGACTGGATTGACCAGACATCTGGACGTCCGACTTCCTTCTGGACAAAGCCACGGTGGTGGGGAAGAGGCAGAGGCAGTTGGGGTGATCATGCCGGCGCGGGGTAGGAAGCACTTAGGGGTGAGATCAGGCCGGCGTGGGGGAGCAAGCAGTTAGGGGCAAGATCAGGCTGGTGTGGGGGAGCAAGCAGTTAGGGGGCGATCAGCCCAGCAGGGGAGGGCAGTTGGGGGTGATCAGGTCAGCAGGGGAGGGCAGTTAGGCGGCGATCAGGCAGGCAGGCAGAGGTGGTTAGGGGCGATCAGGCAGGCAGGCAGGAGACCAGCTAGGAGCCAGCGGTCCCGGATTGTGAGAGGGATGTCTGACTGCTGGTTTAGGCCCGATCCCACAGGGTCACAGGTTCCCACAGGGATTGGGCCTAAACCGGCAGTCGAACATCCCCCGAGGGGTCCCAGATTGGAGAGGGTGCAGGCGGGTTGAGGGACCCCACCATGCACGGATTTCGTGCACTGGCACTCTAGTCCTATATAATAAAAGGATAATATGCAAAATGACCCCAACATCAGAATGACTGGTCACTCTGACATCCACTGACCACCAGGGGGCAGATGCTCAACGCAGGAGCTGCCCCTTGGTGGTCAGTGCGCTCCCACAGAGGGAGCTCTGCTCAGCCACAAGCTGGGCTGATGGCTGCGAGTGCAGTGGTGGTGGCAGGAGCCTCTCCTGCCTCCTCAGCAGCGCTAAGGATGTCCGACTGCAGCTTAGGCCTGCTCCCTGCTGGCAAGTGGACATCCCCCGAGGGCTCCCGGGCTGCCAGAGGGATGTCTGACGGCCAGCTTAGGCCCGATCCTCTAGGGAGCGGGCCTAAGCCAGCAGGTGGACATCCCCCGAGGGCTCCCAGACTGCGAGAGGGCACAGGCTGGGCTGAGGACCCCTGCCCCCCGCCAAGTGCACGAATTTTTGTGCACCGGGCCTCTAGTATTGAGATATAATTGACATTTAACACTGTAAAAGTTTAAGGCATACAATGTAATGATTTCATATATGTATATATTAAGAAATGATTATCACAATAATTCAGTTTAACATCTATCACCTGACATAGTTACAACTTTTTTTTTTCCTTATGATGTGAACTCTTAAGGTCTACTCTCTTAGCAATTTTCACATATACTGTAAAGTATTAACTATAATCACCATGCTGTACATTAGATCTCCAAAACTTATTCATCTTATAACTAGAAGTTTGTACCTTTTGACCACCTTCACCAAACTCCCCCACTTGTCCTCCTTTTTGCAAAAGTATATAACCTTGTTGGAACAAACTTTTTTTTTTACCTGCATAGTAAGAAAAATCGATATGAATATGACAAATGCTCTTGCCAATATAAAGAATTAAAACTCTGCTGGGCCCGGCTGGTGTGGCTCAGTGGTTGAGCATGACATATGAACCAGGAGGTCATGGTTTGATTCCCGGTCTGGGCACATGCCTGGGTTGCAGGCTTGATCACTCTGGGGGATATGCAGGAGACAGCCAATAAATGATTCTCTCTCATCATTGATGTTTCTCTCTCTCCGCCCCCCCCCCTTCCTCACTAAAATCAAAAATATACATTAAGCCTAAACCGGTTTGGCTCAGTGTATAGAGCGTCGGCCTGTGGACTGAAGGGTCCCGGGTTCAATTCCGGTCAAAGGCATATACCTGGGTTGCGGGCACATCCCCAGTGGGAGATGTGCAGGAGGCAGCTGACCCATGTTTTTCTCTCATTGATGTTTCTAACTCTCTATCCCTCTCCCTTCTTCTCTGTAAAAATCAATAAAATATATTTAAAGAAAAATAAATAAAACTTTGCTAGCCATGCTCTGGCCAGGTAGCTCAGTTGGTTGGAGCATTGTCCCAATATGCCAGGGTTGTGGTTTATAGATCCTGGGTCAGGGCCCATACAAGAATCAGCCAATGAATTCATAAATAAGTGAAACAACAAAAATTGATCTCTTTCTCTCTTTGAAATCAATAAATAAAAATAAAAAACATAAACAATCCCTGGCTGGCACTAAAGGATTGAGGGTTCAATTCCCAGTCAAGAGCACATACCTGGGTTGCAGGTTCATTGTTCTGGTTTCGGAGTCGGGGCATGTGTGAGAGGCAACCAATCTGTGTGTCTTTCTCACATTGATGTTTCTCTTTCTCTGTCTCCCCTCCCTTCCACTCTATCTAAAAATCAATGGAAAAAATATCCTCGGGTGAGGATTAACAAACAAAAAAACCCACCTTGTCAGCCACTATGTCTTCCACGTGTGCCCTACACCAGCAATCGCCAACCGGTAGTCCGTGGACCACTGGTGGTCCATGAGGTCCGAAAGGTTGGAGACCACTGGTTTAGGATACCTTTGGAGCAGCGGTTGCCAACCAGTAGTCCGTGGGCCACTGGTGGTTCGTGAGGTACATAAGGTTGGCGACTGCTGCCCTACACCAATCAAATTCACTTAATACCATCTTCTTGCATTTCTTTCTACTTTTATTACAGCAGGTACATACCTAGACACTGTAGGTTGGCCTTTACCTTTTTAATATTGCGTTGGATATGTCTTTTAAGTATCTCTTAATTTAGTCTTTCTTTGCCTCAGTCTTTTTTTCCTTTTATTCATTTTTTGGTTTGTTTCTTAGTTAATCCTCATGGGAGAATATTTTTTTCTGTTGATTTATTTACTTATTTATTTTGGAGACTGGAAGGGAGGAGGGAGTGGGGAGAGAGAAACACCAACTTGAGAGACACGTGTATAATTGCAGTGACTCTTCCATTATTTTTCCAATTTTTCCTAATTAGTGCTCTAAGAAGTGTGATTTTTATACCTAAGATAAATAGGAGATAGAAGAATTATTTTATTCATAAAATAAAGATTAATCCAGAAAAACTATTCTCCTTTTCAGCCACAGTTTAATTCAAAGCAGGTATTTCCCATCTGTTCTGTAGATGTAGATTTAAGTCTCTGAGAATAGTGATAGTAATGCACTATAGTATTTGTGCTTTTATACTTATTCTGCCTTTTTACTTAAAAAAAGTATGTGGCTAAAATAAAAGCAAGTCCTTATGATTGCAAAGTCTTTTGTAAATATTAGATTAAAATAAGGTGAGGAAGCACGAGCCAGTGGTAAAGTAGACATAATATCTGCAGAAGGAATTTACTGGTCTGGTAATTTCAGTCTTCTGTAAGAAAGTGTTTGCATAAGGACTTGAAATATGCGTAGGTAAATTTAGTGCTTTAAAATGTGTAAGCACCTTCACATATGTTACCACATTTAATTTTTATAACAGCCATATAAGGAAGTCAGGGTGAGAGTGTATATTGTTTTATAAGAAAACTTGGGGTAGCGAGTAGAGGGCTGTTAAGCAGCCCTGCATCGTCCTTTTCATCAGTAGTAAGTATTCTCTTTTATGCTATTGGATGTTTTATGGCACTTTTTCATAGGTGTCAATATATTATGGATGTGCGTTCATTTTTTATTTCTGTGGTGTGTGCTTTGTTTCCAGGCAAAAGGTGGAGGTTATGAAAGTGAAGATGCCTATCAAAATACAGAATTAGTTTTTCTAGATATCCACAATATTCACGTTATGAGAGAATCCTTGCGAAAACTAAAGGAGATCGTGTACCCCAACATCGAGGAGACCCACTGGCTGTCTAACTTGGAATCGACTCACTGGCTAGAGCATATTAAGGTGGGCTGTTTCCTATTTTGTTACAGGAAGGGTGCCACACAAGGGCTTTCTCTGCCCCTTCCCTATATTAGCTCTCACCACTGAGATGAAGACGAAGGTACCTTGCTCAGCAGTGCAAAGTGGATACCTGCTTTGATAATTGAACTACTTCTAAGTTTTGGTGCTTGAATGAATTAGTTTCTTGTATTGTGCATTTGGGTCTGTTGAACTTCTTTCACTTTCTTCCCCATCCAGTCTGAATTCTCCCCAGATTCTTACCAGATTGCTGTTTCCAGTTTCTCTGAAGTTTTCACTTTTTCTTTCCGTTTAATCAGTCCTACGTCGCACTTCATTTAATTATTTTTGTGTGGCAACTCAGGGGAGATCAGGGCTGGACAGATGGTGATCATATTTTTTCCCCCCCTCAGGAGCTAGGGCAGCACTATCTGTGAACAGCAGGCACCCAGGAAATGCTTGTTGCGTGGCTTGTGAAGTGATGATCATGCTGGTCAGGGGAGTGAGGTGAAGAAGCTGAGTGAAGGATACCCTTTGAATGCTAAGTTATTTGGAGACTACCATGTGAATGCTGATTTGCCTAAAATGTTAATATAATGTGTGAAGCACCAAATGTTATTTAATAGAGTTGTATATTTTTTTTCAGCTATGGTCTGAATTTCAATAACATAGCTTACCAAAATATTTTTATAGCCTCATATATTATTAATATTATGAAATAAAGGGGAACGAGATTTTTCATAAGAAGGAGCAGACTTATACTCACATCAAAATCTCTGAAATTCAGACAAATAGAAGAGAAGGCTAATTAAATGAGAATTATAGACTATTTTTTATTGCTTTTTTTCTGGAAGCTTGCATGTAGTTAGAGAATAGGTTCCTGTGGCCCATCTATTTGTTGCTTGATGTGTAAGTAGGAACCCATAAGATTGATTTAGAGCTAACATCGTCTCTTTCACTTCTGTAAATTCCATTTCATAGCAGGTGTAACATTCTTTCCAAAAGGCTGCCTGTACCAGAAACAAGTTTCCTTAGAGGCACAAGAGGTGCAGTTGTGCCTGCATGACCTTCTCCTCCCCAGTCCTCTCACCTGCAAGGCTTATCCTCTCACTTTCTCAGATCCTTGCTCAAATGTCACCTTCCCAAAGGGGCTTTCCCAACTACTATATACAAAGTGACAGTTCTGCCAGAACCCCCTAGAACTGTGTGGTGTTTTTCCACTTACCTCCCTCTGACACAGTATATATTTCCTTATTTATTTGCATTTGGCTGGCCTCACCAGCCATTACAGAAACTTCATTAAGCCAAAACTCGCTTCTGTTCACTGCTTTATCTCCAGCACCTAGAACAGTGCCTGCCACATAGTGAGGGGCCCCATAAATGTTTATCCTATCTAATGAAGAGGGAATATGCTAATTGACCCCCATCTATCATAAAGATGGCAGCGCCCACAGCCAATAAGGACGGAATATGCTAATTGACTGCCCTGCCCTCAAAGATGGCAGTGCTCAGTCCCCAAGCCCCACCGGGGCGGCAGGCTTGTGGCAAGGCCGGGCCCGCTCCCCCAGGCAGGCTGGTCGATACGTGCACCTGCCTCCGGAGTACCCCAGTCTCCTTAGTCCTCATGCCACCCAGGGCCAGCCCGAGGCGCAGGCAAGTCTCAGATGTCGGCTACCCAGCTGCCCAGGGCCACCCGAGGCTCAGGTAACCAGGGCTGGCT